GCTCTCAGGTAAACCCTGTATGCCTCACATCCAGTTTTAAAACAGAATCAAAAGCTAAAGATTACTTTATTAGTATTATTTTATCTTCTGCAGGACTCCACCTCTGTCCGTGACTTCCAGCTGTCCCTGGCTGATGGCTATGCAGTATTTATTAGTGGTAATGATACCTTGAGGTCAGATAAAAGGTATAGTGATGGAAGCTGGCACTACTTGTCTGCAGTTAAGATGCCAACAGGGTAATATGTGTCCTCTATTTGTTGACAAGTTTATCCTTATTGAAATTTAAAAACAGCACATTACTGAATCTGTTTTTTATTTTCTCAGGTTGGAGCTCAGCATTGATAATGTAAAAGTGATTCAGGGACCATCACCTCATATCAGGCCAGTGGATCAAAATGCGCAAGGAGGGAAATTCTCAGGCTGCATTGCTAACCTTTATACAAGCAGGTTTGGTAACATTTGACATTTGTTCATATTTTTTAATGCCACACCTCTTCTGATATAGATGACATAAATTTATGTTTATCAAATTCTAATCTGACACAGGATTGAGCAAGGCTTTATACCTGCTGATTTAAGCTCATATTCACTAACGGGAGATGTAGTCCTTGGCCAGTGTAGTCTCTATTCCCTACCACACACCAAGCTTTTACCAGCACCTGTGATGAAAAGGCCCCAGAAACACACACCTGTGAGCACAGCAAGCCATTATTTCTACAGCACCATAATAATTCTCCTTTTGCTTCGATAATTAGATAGTGATGCAGGCCATTTCTCTGCTGTTTTGTCAGATTCAGGTTCCAGCAGGCAGCCAGTGTAGACAGTGGCGAGCACACCGTGGTGAATACCAGCTCTTTGAGGGGCACAGCTGGCTCAGTTACACCATGCCACAACAGGACCTTAATTATAGGTAATGGTAGTTTTGTATTGAACAATAAAAATACCTTATTCTTTACTGAAGATGTGGGAATTTGACAGTGTTGTTGAGAAATGGTATGGTTTTGATTTGGTATCCCTTTTCGTATGTCAAATAAAAACCTCCCCTTTTTAATTTATTCATTAAAGGTACACTGTGTAAGAATTAAGACTACTCTTCTTCTTCCTGTCAAATTCAGACTCCAGAAAAAGGCCTGAGCTACAGTATACTAAATGTAAATGCTCTGTACTTGTATAGTACCTGTCTTGTCTTTTTGACCACTCAAAGCGCTTTTACACTACATCCACCCGTCACACACATTCATACACTGAGCCTAAGTGCTCAAACGGAAACTAACATTCACACTCACTCATACATTGGCAGAATAGCCGACAGGGGCAATTCGGGTACTGTACAACCGGGGGAGCCAGGGATTGAACCGCCGACTTCCCGATTAATGGCCAACCCGCTCTATCTCCTGGGCCACAGCCACCCTGAGGCTATTGCCTAGGGCTGTACGATTTGGAGAAAAAGTCATAGTGATATTGCAATTTGCGTTTGCGATATAATGGAACAAATAGTAACATGAGTCTACTTGCTTGATTATCAAGGAAAATGCACAAACAAAGTTAACAAGAGTAAGAAGAAGGTTTTTTTCATTCCAAAACAGCTTTTCACAGAAAATTCTACTGTGATTGATGCATTGCGGTTTGTGGCGTGTGTGACTTGTGCATCCCTGATGCACCAGCAGCACCAACACAATCCATGCCACACTTTATGTAAACAAGATTACCGAACAATATTTCCAACAATAACCTTAGTAAAACAGATGTAAGGCAGAACAAAGCCAGTGTGTTGCTCTCAGGAAGAGGCAGATAGAAGAAGTATTGGCACAATGGCATCCTGGCTCTGGCTAAATCTCCACTGCAGAGGCTCTATCCACAACCTGGAGGAGGTAGTCTACTACTATAAATGAGTGTATTTGTAGAATATCATAACACTAAATACAAAATATTATGTCAATTTAATAGTACTCTGTCTGTATAATAATTTTTTAATTACTATATTCATTTTGATTTCATGTAATATTGTCTTCTTTCTTACCTCTTCAGCTGCTTACGACGCATCTCGCATCTCATGAGGCTCCGGTGGCCTGTCCGACTATGTTATAAACAATTAGGGGCAGGGGGTTTCCGTAGGGATTTGCCTTTAATGTTACTTGCACACTGCTAATAATAATAGATTAATAATAATAGATAATTTTTCTGGTTCGCACATATCTGTTTTTAGGGGCATATGTGAGAGCCCGGTGTGGGTGGAGATAATGAGCAGACTGCAGTGCAGAAAGAGACCAGAGTGTCATGCACAGCACACTATTTTTGTTTAGTAAATTGCACCCTTTTTGCGGTTATGTAATTGCACAGGATGACATCATGATAACAATTGCAATTAAATTAATTGTGCAGTCCTACTATCTCCTCTTGAGATACAAAGTGGTATTACAACACAGGACAGGACAGTGCTAGCTGGTTAGCATGCTAACTTACATATCCCTGCAACACAATAAATAGACGTCCTTGACTTCACGTCAGATCTGATACTTTTCTATTCACATTGATCTGTTGATCATGTTAGTTAATTTTTTATTAAATTCTGCCCAAATCTTACATTGTAGCTTTAATTCAGTTGTACAACCATCCAACTTTTCATCTTTTCATTAATTCATAAGAACAGTAACTTCACTGTTGCACTCCTCTTGTGTCCCAGGCCTCACTTTTCTCTTGACATCAAGACCAAGTCATCCAAAGGGCTGATCCTCCATGTAGCGGGGAGAGGAGGTGTCCCCCTGCTGGCTCTGTACATGGCCAATGGCAAGATCAAGATGTCTCTTGGGCAAAACAGAATCATCCAGCACAAGCAGAAGAGCAACGAGGGGAACTGGCACAGAGTACGTGACCATTCCCTAAGCCCCGTCCTCATAGTTACTGTCGCTAAACCTGTCAGGCTTTCAGTTCTTGCACAGCACATGTGCAGTTCACAGTGATAACAGTGGCAGATTTATCACTAAAAAAATTTTTATTACACACAAGACCAAACAAAAATAACCTTGTATTTTGATGACTGTGGATTTTGTCTGCAGATATATGTCTCTCACATAATTTATCAGCTGCAGTTAGCTAAGATAAGTAAATGCTAGTGCTGAAGGTCTGTGAAGTCAGTAAGTTTTACATTTTTCCAGATGATTTGCTTTGAAACAAAAATCTCACCCATTAGGGCTGGACAATATGGCCTAAAAATAAAATCTCCAATTTTTTCACACCCCACCTGATTTACGATTTAATTTTTTTTTTTAAGAAAAAAGGAAAACAAACTACATTAACTAATTTTTTAGATACATTTTTGTTTGTTTGGAGACATTCAGGGCTGCATGGTTTGACTGGACTAGGGCTATCTTAGTAAAGCCACACACCCTCCAGAGCTGCTTTGCTATTTTTTCACATGTACTGTTAGATGGGGCAGGGCAACTTCAGGAAAACTGTCAAGGTTCGTAGACAAAACAATTGTTTTGCCTATAGTATTTTACACTGCATAAATTTGCCTACCAGTCAACCATGGAAAAACACTGCATTGCTGTCATCCTCTTGTGCTCTAAGATGCTGTTAAATGTTAATAATGTTGGATTACTATTTCATTGGCTATTCTGGATCTTTGGGGTAATGCATACAATCAGTGGACACTTTATTAGGTACACCTTGCTAGCACTGGATTGGACCCAAGGCAAAAGGTTGCCTTCAGAACTGCCTTAATTCTTCGTGGCATACTTTCAACAACGTGTTGGAAACATTCCTCAGAGACTTCAGTGCACATTGACATAATAGTATCACAAAGTTGCTGCAGATTTATCAGCTGCACATCCATGATACGAATCTCCCGTTCCACCACATCCCAAAGGTGTTCTATTGGATTGAGAACTGGTGACTGTGGAGGCCATTGGAGTACAGTGAAGTCATTGTCATGTTCAAGAAACCAGTTTGAGATGATTTAAGCTTTGGGACATGGTGCATTATCCTGCTGGAAGTAGGACACTGCTACAACAAATGGAGAAATCCAAAGTCTGAAAGGTCTTTCTGCCTAGTTATGATTACTAAACTGTGATAAGTTTTGTTATGTTATTTCCTTTCCATGCTCATAACACATACAGTTTTATTATTTCAGTGTCTTGTAGATCACAGTGATAGTAACCTAATATCTCTTTGTCTGAGTTCTTCGGGCAATTGACTTGTGTTGAGTCACTTTACATGTGTGACAGATTGTCTGTATGTGCAGGTTGAGCTCAGTGTGGAGAAAAGCACTTTTCATCTGCTGGTTGATGGGATCCGTGTGACAGATGGATATCTGCCTAACAATGAGGGATCATCTTTAGACCTGCACAACCCTGTGTATCTGGGAGGTGATCCAATAAGCAAAACCACAAAAGTCGGTATCATACCTCAGTCATTGTTTGACTGCTTATTTAACTGCTATGTCACATATTGAAGCTCTTCTTTCTTCTCTTCTTGTCCCCCCTCAGGGACACAATGTTCCCACGAACAGTGTTATTGGTTGTATAAGGGATTTCAAAATGAATGAGGAAGTAATTGGGGAACCAGAGGCAAGCCACAAAACTTTACCCTGCTTTGATGGGCTCACAGAGATCGGGGCATACTTTGGCGGCGGTCACATTGTCTTAGGTTTGACAAATTTTATAGATCCAGGTGCATTGTTTTATGTCCCTGCGTGTGAGCTCAAGTTACATCAAACACTGATTTTAAAATCTAATGAGGAATATTCCTGTTTTAGATAATTACTTCACTGTTGGTTCCCAGTTTGTGTTGGCTTTTGAGCTGCGTCCTCAACACCTGACAGGTCTACTCTTCCATGTTCGAAGTCATAAGACCAGCCTTAATGTGTTCTTAATGGAAAACAAGGTGAAACCTTTCACACAGAATGAATGATGCAATTAAAGCAATTTAAAAAAGAGCAATTAAAAATGCTTTAAATGACCAAAAACATTAAGTTTAATGACCTTTTACCAGGTGGGTGTCATTTTGAATGACGGCGCTGTCAGTGTTTCAGTGACTCCTCGTGAAAGCCTCTGTGATGGAAAATTTCACGTGGTCACAGGTATGACTTTTCATGCTGACAACATAACATACATTACATATATTACATATGTGAGATACATGAGTAGCTCCAAATTTGAGATGATCATGTTATTATCCTCCAGTGTACAAACAACATGAAATTGTAAAACTAGTGGTGGACTCCATGTCTAAACAGAAAGCTGCCCTCTTCACGTCCCCCTCGTACTCAACAACACTGGATACACTTTACATTGGAGGTAAATCCATCAAACACTTCACAGAATATCTTTCAAAGAATATCAGCTGTCATGGAATAACCCTGACCGGAATCAGGTCTTGTTTTCAAACCATTTTATTTAATGTGTGAGTAAAACGGCATTAAATAAAAGCTAAGACAGCTAAATATATTTAATAGATGAATAATTGAGAGATGTGTACACTTTGTGAGTGTGTGTGAGAATCTTATATTTCTGCTTTTCCTTTTCTCCATTCAGGAACAACAAAGCGAAGCAAAGTCCCCGTGTCCTCACCATTTGTGGGCTGCTTGCGCAATGTGAAGCTTAATGGAAGGCCTGTTGCATTTGAGACAGGATCCAGGGTGGTTGGCCCTGTGAGCATCAATAGATGCCCTGCAGTCTAAGGATGTGTAATTACTGGGTGACACATCAACTTCTTTAACCCCCACAGACCATTTGGCATCATTACAAAGACCTAAGCTTTGTGGAAACCCACAGAACTAAATTAGAATTTCTACCCCCCTTAGATACTGTTGCAACGCCTGGCAAGCAGTCCCTGATAACAGGGACAGATTTTTAATGACAGGCAAAGCGGTTCTTTTCAGTGTAGTGAATCATTCGAATCACTTCATTAAAAAGATCTGCTCACCAAATTGTTCAGTGCTTGACCTTTGCTGTGTAGGCCTACTAAATGAACTGAATCACAGTTCAGTTCAGCTCGTTAACTAGTGAACTGAGAACGGTCGTTGGTGAATGATAAGTCAGTGAGCTGAGAATGTAGTTGGATAAAAACACTGTTTGCAAACTGAAAGCTGAAAACAAAGTCCTACCCTATATGTTGGGGCAGGTATACTTTTGTATTATTTTATTTAATAAAATATTTGGTAGTCCTTCCTACTTCAAGACGTAAAAAGACATGAGAGGGGCGAGGCTCATGTTCACTGTGAATGTTCAGCGAATGATTCACTGAACATGCCCCGGTCCCCTGCAGTGAGAGGATCTGACACCGCCTCAGGCTCAGCCACCTGTTTTTCTTTCATATTGCAGGTTTCACTACGCATTGTTAACTACAAAAGATGGTGAGATTAAAAAAAGAGGTAACCTGATTTTGTGTGTCATTTTAAATGTATTACATTTAATGAGGCCAGATGAAGCAATTTAGTTTATGCACTCTATGATACCATGCCAAAATCAGAATCGCTTACTATCCCTTTAAATATTATAAGATTAAGATTATAATGTTATGTTAATGTGTGTGTTGTTGTCTCTTGTCTCTTTTCTGTGATGTTGCAAATGGAGCTGCTTTGATGCAAGAAAACAATTTAAACTGGATCTGACAATAAAGTATCATCGTCATCATCATCAATATGCTGTTCTACTTTTGACCATGAGATGGAGTGCTTAACCTGTTGTAATGTGTTCAGTTAGTCCCACTCTGCTCTCAGTGAAGTCCTCTCTGTATGTGGTAGCAGAGGTATCTCGTTTCTCCTGTGGCTAATGCTGCCTTCATGTTACAGCTGACCGTTTCCTTCCTGTATATTACAGTCATATCTTCCTCATCTTTCCCTCATCAGAGTTCAATCAGCACCTCATCAAAAAGCAGCCCATCATTTATGATGTGTGTTATCTCCACTTGCTCTGATGTCTTCACACAGTTCACACAAATGCCTAGCAGGTGAGTTGGACACTTAAGTAGGTGTGAGTCCATATGTGTTTGGGTTGTAATGTACCGATAACATGTCCATCCCTCCTAATCTCTTCTTCCTCTGTGACCTTGACCAGGACCAAATGGGTGATGAATGAAACACATGTACAAGGAAGCTATAATGGTCAGCTGTATTAACATCCCAATTAGCAATGCGTATCAGCTAAGAAGTCTGACTTAGTATACATAGTCTTAAGGTCACATTAGTGTCTGTTCAACAAAATAGTCCTGGGGAAAAAATAGATAACATACTAAGAAATAAATATACCCTCATTCTTACTACACTAAAGAGTCTCCATTTTCTATCTTTTAAATTCAGCAACACGGAAAACATCTGCCTCAGTACACATGAGAATTAAAGATCTTAAAACATTAGCGTTATCCCGTTAGAATCTGCACATTCATTCAACACAACCAACCCCTTTAACTTGTATTTTTAGCGTCTCCATTGTTCTATTGTACAGCTATCTTACTCAACATGTACCCTAGTTTAGCATTTGACTATACCTTCTCTTTTTCCCCATGTGACAGCAAAACTACTTTTTATCTTGGCATGTCATTGTAAGTGAATCACAATCTTATGCTGAGGCATATGCATTACGAATCCACAGCCAGTTAGCAACAAAGTGAGTAGCTTACGTTCAGTTCCTGCAGTATTGACCTTAGGGTGGGTTCCTCCTCTGTACACCATCATCAACTGTTTGAGTATTGCACTGACAAGGTAACACAAGGGATGCATGAAGCAAAGTAAAATAGCATTTACTAAATATTGAGGAATAAAAGATAAAAAATGGGGTCTGTGCCTGTAATAGTACCTTTCAAACTGTACTTAAGTCTGATTATTCCTGTCCTGTGCCTTTTTTCAACCCTTTTTCTATTTTTTTTCTCTTAATTGATAGCTTTGTGAGAGATTTATATTCACATGCAAATCACCCATTTACACTGTTTCAGTTTCTATATCTCTTTCAGCCACAGAAAACGCTAACATTTTAGCACACTACTCCTCTGCTTCTCACCTGATCAGAGAGCCCTTACATGTTACTTCCAACTGCACATGAAAGCATGAAAACACAAATAAAAGGCCATCTCTCATGTGCTTGATTTTGTGAAAACAACTTTAGTTACTTATTGCATCAGGATCTTTTTACAATGTTTTTCCCTGAGAGCTCTGCTAACTCAACTGCAAAGTCCACATCTTCTAAATTGGGGAATAAGGGGTCCACTGGATCATCCTAACCATCTAGTCTTCAGGTTGGAAGTTAGGAAACTGTGAAAAAAAAAAAAATAATAATAATAATACTTTGCTACAGAAACGATTAGATCAGATTACACTTTATTTTCAGATTTCGCTAAAAATCCCAAGCTTACTTCACATAAATGGTAAAAACATACATGAATACATGGAAAGGTTTTATTTCAGTTTTCAATAAAATACTTTAAATGCTGAGGCAAAACGCCTTAAAATTCAATAGTGTCAACATAAGATGACCCAATCAACTTTATTTAGTCTGTCTGACAGGCTGTATGATACACACATTTAAGATTTTCAGCAAAAATATTAATAAATTTACAGAGCTGTGCCTTATGAAGTATTGGGCACAACAGACACATCATTCAGTTAATAAAACAATCAAAACAAAACTAGTACCAGACAATTCTTATAAGTGTTATATTGATGTAGAAAATATACTGTATGTTTTTGTAGGTCTTTTGTGATTTTGGATTCCAGAGGAAATGTGAACAGCATTATGAGGTCACTGAGAGTTCAATTCGTGTTGTCATCTTTACATTTCATAAGTTTTCAATATTGATTATGGACATTTTCCCCCACAGTTTTCCCATCAGAAAGTTGATTAAGGCCACACAGTGTAAGTACACTGTTTGCATATTGCTTGTAGTTCCTGTAGCTATTCCATTAAAAAAACAAACTTGTAACTGTAAGGTGCAAATTTCTCTGTGCAGGAAATGTCCATTAATAAATGTCTGGCAGCTGGCTGTATTTCCTGTCCCAGTATCCACCAGAAAAGAGCCAGTCCTGGGAGTTGGTGTGGGGGTTTTGCCCCTGCTGAAACCACCTGAAAGCATAGCAGACCCACATCAGCATTCAGTTTGAGCTCCTATCAAACACAACACTAGCCAGTGGATCACAAACAAATCAGAGAAAGCAAGGAAGGAATGGCATGCTTTATCATAAGGTTATGGGTAATTTGCTTGGCAGTTGGCAGTTTTGATAGTTTGCCTTCACTAAAATTAACTTTGCATTATTTTATCTTTGTTGCATAAAAGTAAGGATGGAAATGATTTGGGGGAGAGGACTCCTGTGTTGTTTGAGTGATTCCAGTGCCAGGAAGGGAAGGGAGAATGGATCAATCACATCATCTCTAAACTGATTCTATCATCAGCGATTATCACATAGTTAAAAAGATGTGATTCAAATTTAGAGAATAAGATGTGTCTGGAAACACAGAAAATGCAAGGTCACATGATCACATCACACATTTCAGCCACATCCTTCAAACAGCAAGCAGCTCTAACCTTGGACCCAGGGCAGGACTCCTTAACATCAAAGAGACGATGTGACAGAAAAACAAGATAGATTTAGCTTTGAGCATTTCAAACCAAGAAAGTATGAAACAGTAAAGAAAGAGATGTACATATATATGTAATATGATGGTATATATAATAATCTGAATATTAGCACTTTCTTAAAGAAAGACCTTTGGGGAATCCACTTTGCTTTCTTGACAAGAGTTAGATGACAAGTTTGATAAAACTCTTTTTATGGTAAATATGATTCTACTGTGAGCTGCTGATTAGCTTAGCTTAGCATAAAGACCGGAAACAGGGAAATAGCTTGAAAGCAGAAATAGCTGTTCAAGGGTAACAAAATCCACCTTTAAGCACCTCTAAATCTCTTTATTAACTTATTACATCAGTACGAAAAACTAAAACGCAAAAACAACACGCTGGCTAGCTGTGTCTCCCCATTTCCTGTTTTTGAGCAAAGCTAAGCTAACTAGCTGCTGGCTGTTGCTTTATATTCAACGACATTTTTTTATCCAACTCTCCACAAAAAAGCAAATAAGTGTATTTCCCAAAATTCACACTTTAATCTTAAAAATCAACTATTGCCATTTTATGCATCAGGAAAAAAGGGCGTTGTCTTAAATTAGATGATTACATGAAAGCCTGTTGAGCACAGCCATTAAAAGGGGAAAACACTTTGAGTTGTACAATTTCACTAACAGCCTCACCTCGTCTTCCACTCTTCATCAGATTTGGAGTTGTTTTTGCGAGTAGCTCTCTGTTTTTCCTCAAGCCTTTTCTTCTCCTCACTGGCGAGGTCTATTATAATAACATTGTAGAGTTTTAGATTGCAGTGAGATGATTCTTTTTTTTTCAGCTCCAGTATGTTGAACAATCATTACCGATGTCACCGTTCTCCATGGCTCGTATGTCTGGCCTCAGCCTGCAGTCTGTCTGAGGAATGGCTCCCTCCATCTCCTTACGCAGCTCGTTTAGTTGCATTGCAAACGACGTGAAGCTGTACATCTGCAATTAAAGAAAAGACTCAATTGGTATATTAGAACATTGCAAACACATCCTGATTTTGAGGCTATGCTCTAATGAAAGCTTATAGTGTACATTAATCAATCACACCTGGACAGAGTTGGCTGGTCTGGGTGCGATTCTCCACAGCAGCTGGCTGCCAGGAATCATCTCCACAGTGTCTGCAGCTGGAGAGGGAACCTCCTCCTGACCCTCGCTGCAGCCCTGAAAACCAGCCCAATTGTCAAACAGAAATAATGCAAGAAAAGTCTACATGTTAATCATGTTCTCTCCCAGATGCATTATTACAGTGTTTTACACCCATTTTATTTGACATGCCCTGAAAAATACTTTTATTTCCTCATCAAATTACATTATTCACAGGCTGAATCACAACAATAAACTGGTATGATCCCCTGCTGTGCAGTTGGAAGCAGTTCATACCTCTTTGCTGCCTTTTTTCTCGCCTGCCCCTTTCTTGTCATTTTTCTTATGCACTTCAAATGCAGCAGGGTCAACAACATACAGGCACTCTGTCCATTTTCCATAGAGCGCACACAGCTTCTTTTTGCTGTGGAATACATACACATATCCTTAGGCACAAACACTAGATGATGATTTCAGATAAACAGATAAAAACTGGTGCACCAGCTGAGATGGCTGACAAAAACTCCAAAATAATCTAAATAAGCATGTGTGGCTTCACGCTGGTACATTTCTGAAACATTGCAGCCAAATGAAAAGAAGCTACAAGGCCACGCTCACAGTCTGTCTCGCTTAAGCAACATCAGAGGTCGTGCTGAAAAGATCTCATCTCTCTGCTTGTTATCAGCCTGTCTGGTTGCTACATACCTTCTCTCAATGTGATTTAGTATGTTTGTATATCCGCGTATCACTTCGAGTGTATGACTATCTACTGTTGCATATTTAGTCTGGTTGTTGTGGTCATGCACACTACCTCTGTCCAGTCATTCATGTTGAGTCATTGGCTCTGTTGATAGAAATGTCTTGTCCTCCATTTTTGATTGAACCATCTGCTCTTTTTGTGTTTTTTAACCGCTGACATGTTTTCAGCCTTTTCTCCTCAGTCTTTAACTTTCATTTTCTACTGAAGCCCATCTCTTTCAAGAGCTGGTTTTGATGGCAGTTAATTATAAATGGTATTAATTGATCATTTGCATGATGATTTGATTTTATAATGGGGTCTGATGTCGCACTTTAAGTTAGAAATGTGCTCATGAAATTGGCCAGGCAAACTACTCAATTTTGCAGTTCCTGATGAAGCATTTTTAAACATCTTATTGAATCATATTTCTTCTAAAATATAGGTGCATAAAGGAATATGTTTCGGAAGGCATCAGTGTAAAACATACCTTTTATCCAGAATATACCCTTCAACCTTGTGCAGTTCTTTGCCAAAGAGACCACATGGTTTGAAGTTCAGACAGCACCTTTCACCAGTTCTGGGTGAAAAAAAAGGAGAAACTATTATCCTCTCACTCTGCTAGCTGATTCATTCTAAACTTCCCCATCTGTTCTGTCCATTTTCTTCCTTGTAGATCAAACTTCCCCAAAATGTGTATATCAACTGTGTCAGACTATAAATATGCACAACTTTTATCTATAATCTTATATAATAAATAAGTACAGTGTCCAATACATGTGTACATTTCACTTACTGACAGTGGAATTTTTTGTACTCTTACCTGTGGTTGATCACCTCCATATTTCCATACTGCTCAATCCACAGCTGGCCCACAATGATGTTGTGAACACAACATGTAGGATTTGTCCATGTGTAGGCTTCATTGTACCTGGAGATAAAACAATGACTTAAAGGAGAACTCTCCAAAATAGCTCCAGAGGGAGCTGCACAAAGTCTGATAAAATGCCTCAAGTCTACAAGTTTGAAAATGAAAACAATGTGGGGGTGTGGAGTTAGAAAGAAGTGAACTCCTCAGACCTCTGTAACTGCTCTCCATCCCTGTTTGAGGCTAGCGGCTGGCGGCTACATTAGTTGCTACTGGCATAAAAGACCTAATCTGTGCCCAAACGGTCACTGTATTTTTAAGAAGAAGAAGAACTGAATGCTTTAATAGTTTTTAAGAAAAGATTATTAAAAGAGACAACCATCAGTGTTTTCAGCTAGATGTTCTTACTTGGGCAGCTCCAGAGTGATGATGCCTTTGGGCTCCGCTTCCACACTCTTGCCCCAGAACTTGAGTTTAGGGTAGATGGATCCATGAAACACAAAGTCTTCCTTCAGGCCTTCAGCGTGGAAGGCGCTGACTGGGGGGTGGTGGCTTACCTGCTCTGATATGAGCCTGAAGTCCAAATCCTCTCTGGGAGGACCAGGGACACAGCAAGCATCAAAGCGTCAACTTAGGTAATGCATTTAGTATATAATTAGTGTCGAATATGTGCTGTATAATCCCACTTACCTAACCAGTTCATAGGTTTCTCCCAGCAGAGGGTTGAAGGGTTTACCTGTCCGCTCCCACTGGGAGGCCACAGCGGACACCGCAAACGCAGCCACACACTGCCAACAGCAGACAAACACACACTCCAAATCATACACACTAAACTCTAAAGGTAAAGGTGTACTGCAGTTACATATGGCTGCACTGCACAAGGCAATGTAAGTAATTTGCAGGATGTTACAGAGCGTACTACCTTCATCCTCTCAATAGAGTCTGAGGAGGTGTTAGCCTGGTGGATGAGGTAAGTGTGCTCCATGTACTCTGTCAGACGCTGCAAGAAGCTGAGCGGCTCGTTAAAAATCACTGGCATTGTAATCTTGGAGAGTTCCTAAAAAAGACATAAAGAGAAGTTGAGGGACCAGGTTTCATTACAGAGAGAAAATAGTCTGTTCACAAAACAACCTACCAGGTCTGTCAGGAAACAGACCAATCATCTTCAGTTAACGGGGCAGCCCGTCCCCCTTTTTTCTAAACTCCCATGGTGCCCTACACGGCATTTTCACTTTCTGATTTATCTTTTTGTTGGTTCAGGTTGATGTTGTCACATTGTGGGGTGGATGTCTACCTGAGCCTAACCACTTTCAAGTCGAGGTGAGCTGTGTGTCCGTTATAACTGCTGCTAGCAATCAAGGTGTTAGCACCACATCCTCTAAGGGAACAGCTGGTGGCAGAAAGGTTAAGGACGTCAAATCCTGCCCTTGCCGAGCTGAATATGGGTTAACCATCCTGGGGAGGGACCCCCATCCTCAGCCAGTGTCAGCAGCCATTTTCTCTCTTAAGCCGAGGGACAATTCAAATTGTGCTGGAGGAGAAAATTAATCTGGGCTTCTACTGCCAGGAGGTTTGTTATGTCCAGTTCTAGATTTACGTTTCTCTGCACATACAAAAGTCCCTTTTCCACCGGATGGTACCTGCTCAGCTCACCTTTTCTGTCTTTCCACTGGGCAAATCTGGAACTTGGTAGGTTTTTGGTATCACCTCCATTGAGGTTCCAAGCGAGCTGAGGCGATACCAAAAAGTGACGTGAAAACACAGCAGACAACTCATTGTTCAGAGAGAATCGCCACTATTCACTGCATCATCATTGAGCGCACCAGATGGGTTGTCCTGAACAAACCCGCCATTTTTAAATAGTTTAGCCAGAGATTGCGAGATAGTAACTAATGACACTCTCTGTACTTTTTTACTTTGTCGTTATTATCGCAACCTGCAAAACCATGGCGTGGTCAAATGAGGAGGTGCAGACGTTCCTGTGCTTGGTTGCTGTGTGTGGGTCGAGGGGTGTGTCGTGTTAAAGATTACATCAAGTCTTTTTCGTGCTGCATCGCAATGATGACCAGCTACATTGAGGGGGTACTATATCTGCAATGGAAAACAGAAGATAGGGAACCAAAAGCGAGATGAGTAGAGGCGAGTCGAGGCAAGCTGCTACCAGCAACAGATAAGCGCCAAAATTTAGAATGCTCACACACTTTGTTTAGCCCAATTCGACCGAGAGGCTGGCTTACATCAGGATGCTTATTTTCACACAAGCATATATTCAGCCTTCACAGGAAATGTTCACTTTCCAGTGCGTACCCTATGAATATCAGACTGCCATTCACACATCAGCAAGCGTGTAGAGGCAGCTCTGAATCTCATGCCTGCCATGGGTCTCAGAGTGTTGGCATATATTTGGAGGATTTTCTCCTGTGCAATCCCAGCAGGGAGGAAGCGGAGAGACATGTGTGCTGTTAAGCAGCCCCTTTAGCTTTCGCGTCAATGTCAATCACAGGAAGAGCATCTTGTTTCCCACTCAGAATATATTTGGAAATAAATTCTGTCTCTTTGTGGGCTTTTCTGTCACAAGATCAGGTGGACGTACAACATCATCTCAGTCGAATGGTGAGGGTTTCCCCAGAATGACTCCTGGCACATATTTGAGAGATGGTGTGAGCATAGAGCCATTATTTCGTTTCAAAGTTCTGTCAGATGTAGGGTTAGTGTGCCATGGTTTCAGCCTGCCTTGTCGTAATGTGCCAATTGGACAGAATTCTCTGACAAGGTTTATGAGGGAAGCCCCGTCAGCTGTGGCCTGCGTATAAACCTTTACTTCCTTCATGGGACTTGTTTTGGAGACACTCTCAGGGTTACCATTTGAGCACTTGAAGTGTACTGACTTGAGGTTGCTCCCTCCCAAAACTATTCTGTTGTTGGCAATGACTTCAGCCAAATGGATAAGTGAACTACACGTGTTGTCTGTGCACACATCCTGCTTGCTCAAACCCTGCTTTTGTGGCTAAAGTGCGAGTCTTTTTATAGCTGCCCTACACTGGAGCTGACTGGAGCACAGGATAACGGGATATGGATTCACCAGCTTTTTGTATGTTGGGCCCCTTCTCACAGAGGGAAAACTCTGACTTGCCAGCACCTGTGAGTAGGTGGTGAAGGCTATAATTCTGGATTATAAGAGCAGCGCCCCTGTCAGCCTCTGTGCTCATTCCACTATGGCCACCATATGGGCCCTGTTCAAGTGCATTTCTGTGGGTGACATTTGTTCCACTGCTAGTTGGGCATCCCCACACACATTTATTTCATTGTACTGCCTGGATGTGAAAGCACCTTAACTGGCACACTCAGGCCTGAGTGCGGTTTAATGTTAACTGTGTGCTAGTCCATGGGGAGGGCTTGTGGTGTCGACCCTTCTTGGAAGTCGTATATTGGGCTTCAAAGCGTGCAATTGTGGAGTGGGCCACATCAACCATAGTGAGATACAAAGTGAAGTTTGAATATGAACATTTGGTTATCCAGGGTAACTAACCCCGGTTCTCTGAAAAAAATGTATAGGACAGTAGTTTGCCTGGGGACAAGAAATATGCTTGAGAATGCCTGGTAGGTCACCAGGGACATTTATAAAAGGGGGACGGGCTGACAGTCTGTCTCCTGACAGACACAGTGTTTAGAGGCTCCATGATTGGTCATACCAGAAGGCACTTCACGTAGTGAGAAACCTCTCATGGCTAATAAAAAGGATATATGAATAATATTCTCACCATTCCAATGCAGTTCCTCAGGATACTCCATATACTGAAGTCATTTCTTGAAAACATTGGTGCAGGTAAGCTGGTCCTAAAATTACACACACATTAACACACAGTTGTATTGCTTCTGTATGATGCATTAACTTTGAAAAATACACCTTTCATTAGAGTAAATGTACCAGACATATGATCGCAGCAGGCGTCATATCTTATTCAAGTGAATATACACAACAAAAGCCTGTAAAGCCCAGAGAGCATCAGAGGTGGTCAGCAGTGCTTCTATCTTGTGATTCTAGCAGATAGGAGGGACCAGCCAGGCCACAGTCATCTTAAATGTTTTACAGGTTGGATTTTGGATAATATACTTATATTAATATAGCATAAAAGACATGTAAAACATAATCTGTAGGGTTCACATAATAATTAAATGTAAAATATTCCCAAATAGTCTGAACTGCACTCCAAAGCTGCCTGGAATGATTAGCCAACATGGGATCATGCTACAGACCGATTATCGCCATGTACCGACTGAGACCTTATCAATATTTAACAGCTCCAACACAGAGCTCAATTCTTTCAATACAATCCCCCCCACCCCCCTTCGGCTGGACCTGACTCTAAATTATTCACACCATGAAGTGGAAAGACCTGAGGGAGGCCATGAAAATGAAAAAACAAACATCATTGAGAAAAACAGATCTCTCAGAGCAGGTTGCCTGACACTAGCATCTAGGATACATTACAGCAAGAAAGGAAGTGGTGGAAACACGCACACAGCGGTCCATTTAGGAAACTGTGGTGGCATACAGCACCGCTGACCTGTGCTTTGTGATCCCGTTGGGTTGAGCCTCATCCTTGTCGCCATGGTGATCCTCCTGCAACATGCTGGTGGGGCTGCTGCAAGGGCTGCTTAACATGACAGAGCCTTCGTCCTCCTCGTCCTCCTCAAAGGAATGGCTGGCCACCGTTTCAAAGCCGCTCAGGGAGCGCTCAGAGTCTGATTCTGACGCGAGATGGACACAAAGACAATTCGTGTGACCGCAAAATACTTTTTAAAACTGACTCAGAATTTTTATAAAAGAGGCAAAAGCAGTACAATTCTGAGTGAACACAGCTGTAGTCACTGTTCAAACTGGTAGTAGAAGAAAATGGTAAAATTAACTGTTGAAGGGCATAAAATCTAATTGTGTTTATTAAAAGAGGGATATAATAACATTGACTTAATCCAGTACATATGAATATGCGTCCACACATGCGTAATAGCAAATAGACAGATAAATAAGCCAGACCCATGTATCAGCCAATATTAGCCTAATGCACATTACTCAGTATTGGTGTGTTCAGTATGTTGGCCGGTAAATAACAAGACATTGCAGCACAGAAATGCTAAATATATGTCTGTGATAATGGACAAATAGTGTTGCCATTGCATAGTTTGTCTACCAGAGAGCAGTGACAAGTTTATTTTTTCTACTGTAAAATGTCCTGCACACATCTTGGTCTTTTTTTTTATTATTAGTTTGTGTATTTCATATGTTTATGTAGGAAAGTTCATATTGATCAGTATAGTGTTACCTTACTTCTTTTAGTTGAACCTATTTATGTATTTAAGTAAATTTATACTACTTTTACTCATTTTATGATTTAATCTGAGTTGATTGTGGATTGATATTTACACAAGGAAAAAAAATATAATTCACGAACAAAATTCACAATCATGCTCTGCGACAATTAATGCAGATCTCCTATGCGTCTATATTTCATCATTTAAATTGATTTTTTTCAACCTTGGCATTCCCATGTTAACTACCCTTGATCAATAGGACTGGTTACATAAGGTGTCAAGACATTAGCATCAAATGAGAAAAAGGATTTTGTTGTTGCTGATGAAGTTTAAGTGTACAGAAATAAAAACCAAGTACAAATCCTGTAAAAGTTTCTGTTTTTGAAAAAAACAAATCCTCAAGCATCAGAGTGGCCCATTTAAAAAAAGAGAAATGTTACTACACCATGCGTTTTTTTTCACATCAAAACCACTCATTCATTTGAAAAGACTTCAAGTTATTTCAACACAACCAGGCAACACTTGCGCTTACGTCACGCCTGAGGAGCGGTAAATATACCAAAGACATTCACCGGCAGGTAAAAGTATTCCAATGTCCTATAGGTGAATGACAGAGCAGCGAGTGTGAGTAGGAGCTTGAATCACTTCACAGAATCTCCTGCGTCTCCTGAGCATGTTTGATAACTAGTCAACTCACCAGACACGGCGTCGTGGAACTCATCCTCACTAAGGGCACTCCGCGGTGAAGATCCCTTGACGACGGATTGCTCAAGTTCGTGGTGCTCTGTGGCGAGAGTCTGCAGCGCTTCAGAGAGGATCTTATTCTTCTCTAGCTCCTGCTCCAATTTCAGACTGCGCACCTGAGCTCGCCACACACACACACACACACACACACACACACACACACACACACACACACACACACACACACACACACACACACACACACACACACACACACACACACACACACACACACACACACACACGATAAATAAGTGTTTTTGTGGCTAAATTTTATTCTGACTCTCATTACAAGCGGAAGACATATGTGCGTGACAATCAGATGGGCTGTGATGGCAGTGCAAACAAACAGCCCGTTGACTGACAGACCCTCCGCTTTGCACTATCCTCTTATTATCAGACCCATGGTGTGAGAGAGAGAGAGAGAGAGAGCACTAAGAGAGAGCTGAGAGAGATGAGCCATGTTTATCTGTAACAGAGGACAGCTGCCTTGATGCCGCCGTCTCAAATGGCCTGCCAGAGAACATGACTCTCATGTAGGAGAGGGGATCAAATGATGGGTATTAATGGACTTAGATATAAACCATCAGCCAAACCTCCCTTTTACATAAGGCATTAGTGCTGAATATGAAGCTCATTTTAGCTGCACCTTTCTGAAAATCTTACTTCACTGTTTCTATTGTCAGTGTGACAATGTGTAAAGGGACTAGAGCCCGACCGATAAATCGGCCTGCCGATATGAGCTTACTGCAGATAAATCGGTATTTGTCTTTATTACAGCCGATAAATGACAATTAAAAAAGAAACAGAGACGGAGAGACCATAAGGCACTCGGCAACTCCCCTCTTGGCAACACACTTCAGCTATACTTTTTACTTTTCAAGTACTATTCATAACAATAAAAAAAGTTTATACATTGCATTATGTCATGTTTTCTTGGCGAGATAACTACACATAACAAATGTTTGGGATAAACTTTGTTCTTGTTATGTGGCTCTGAATAGGAGAAAAAAAAAAGAAAATCCTCAAAAATCGGCATCGTCTTAAAAATCCCATATCGGTCGGGCTCTAAAAGAAACCACAAAAGCTTGACAGTCCAAAGCTGTTTTACTTTGCACTGTCAAAGAAACACAATTGATGGTAAACTATCATCCACAAGATGGTAACCAGGACCAGAGCAGACGAGGTTAAGTGCTGTATAAAGGCAGACTACAGATTACTTGACATCATTGCAATATACTGAACTTTCAAGAGGAAATTCCTGCTGCTTGACCCCTACACAAGTGGTGCTAACCAGCACTGCACGAGCTGGAAGTGATTCAGTAGCTTTTCTTCGCAGGGGGAACCCCGCTGCTTCATTCACTCTGTATACCATCATGTGCAAACGGAGTTATACAGTACATGCTTGAGTTATTGAGATCAGGCCTATTCATGGTGAGAGCTCTGAGATCCTGTGAGCATTTTATCATGTGCTCTGCCTCTGCAGATCGCAGTTCAAAAGGCTGCACAGCTGAGTGACACACCCGGCCCAGGTGGAAGCCTTGAAAGCACTGGACTGCCTTTTAAACTGAGAACTATCAAATGGTTTCTGGCAGCCTCTGGGCCACGCCAGCGGCGCCTTCCCTTCTAAAGATCCACAAGAAATTCAACTATCTTGTTTGTGAGATGAAGCTGTGTTAGTGAGAAAACAATAGAGGATTTTTATCTACTTACTTTTTTTTAATTTTTTTTTTTAGAATTTTGTCTTTGGGGTCCAACAATTTTGTCCATGACTTTGTCCATGTTAGCATATAGATTTTTTGTTTTACGCAATGACAGTACTTAGACAGGCAGAATGTCATGTATAAATGTGTGCATTATTATGTGAAGGTATCACCTTTGTTCGCATTTTCCAAGAACTCGTGCATTCATCACTGTATTCATACACTGTGGTGCATAAAAAGCAGCAGTGCTACTACATATCATCTTAAACACTCAGCAGGGACAGTGACAAATGTTTATTCTGATGTGGCATTCGGATAGAAGTCTGGTTCATTATGCAAAAGAAAAATTAAAGACACCCTAAGACACACTAAGTTTTGTGTCACAGCCTACAAAATACATTTAGGGCCTAAAGGATTATGATTAAAAAAAATCAGATATGCCCTCTTTGATATACCCTACACATGTATGCATCATCAGTGCACGTTGCTTTTTATTCAGCTGCAGACAATTTTGAGTGAATCAGCCCTGCACACCTTTCTGTTCCTTAATGAACCTAACCATATACGCTAAATACTAATAACATATACACATCCATTGATCATTCAGTCCCACTGGGACAGTGGCATTGGTCTGTGAGGATAATACCGTGACATGAAAGAAATGTGTCCATGGTCAGAGACACATTGTGGTAAAATGGGTGTATTAGGTCGTAAAATAAACGTGCAGGACTGATTCACAGCAACAGTGTCACGTTTTCCACCATGCTAGCGGTGTAGCTATAGGGATAGCAATGTCGATCTGTCTGTTCACCACTTTGTTCCAGACTAGAACATCTCAACAACTATTGGATGGGTTCTTGAAAAAATTTTCATGATTTTTTTATTTTATTTTATTTGACATTAATGGTGCTCAGAGGATAAATCCTACTGACTATGGTGATCTTCTGACTTTTCATCTAGCAGCGCCATTAGCTTCATATTTGTGGTTTTGAGTGAAATGCTGGAGAAGTGGTAATTAGCAAATCTTAACATGTTAACACATTTAACACCAAGACATGGTAAACATTTTACCTGAGAAACATCAGCATGTTAG